TCTGATGACATCTACGGGACTGTTGACCTTTTCGGTACAATCTGCAGCCCGCTGCCCATGATGCACCACATTGGGGTGCCATGCCATGTGGCGTAATCTACACATCGGTGGTGCACGTGTCACCTTGGCGGCATCCGTACTTGGCAATCTCCCCGACGCTCGTGCCAGCATCTCCGCCCACCCGCACTTCTTGCTGGTACAGTTCAGCTGGCGCAGTGACGCGAGCACCATTCCCATGCAGATCCACGACTCGGGCGAGCCCGATACCATAGTCACCAGTGCAGAGTGCGGTCAGCATTCAGCAAGCATCGTCATCGTCATTGTCATGGTCGTGGGGGGCCCTTCCCATGCAGATCCTCGGCTCGGGCGGACGAGCGTTGATGATCATATCGATGCTGGTGTCGCTGACGACGAGGGCGACGACAGCGACGACTGTGAGGGTGATGTTGACGGCGGTGATGGGGACAAAGGCGAAGACGATGGTGAAGGTGATGGGGATGATGGTGGTGACGGTGGCAATGATGTCATTGGCGATGCTGATGGCGATGATTGTGATGATGGTGATGATGACATTATTGATGCTGACGAGATGATGATGGTGCTGATGATGATGCTGATGATGATGATAACGATGAGGAAGTGCGCGCATACATTCTCAACTTGCGGCAGGGTTCTGAATGAAAAGCCTTCAGGTGCCCCACATTGTTGAACACATATGTGTTGAAGTTCTCAGTGGACGATTGTTGAGGGACAGGTTCGACGTGCGCGAGCGGAGACGCGCGCGTGTGGCTCGAACTGTCTTGCTTGACAGAGTTGACGGGCGCGCGTGTACAGTCGAGCATCTGATTGGGAAACCTCCTCCCGAAGAGCTGGGCCAGCGCTTCTCACCCGGCCTGCCGGAAAGCTGGCCCAGATTTCTTGAGCACGTTCGCCCTTCCAGCGTGAGCAAGAGAATTCTGCCCAGCTCTGTCTTGAAAGAAATTCAGGAAGCTGGCCCAGATGTCTTGAATGAGAAGTTTCTTGATCACAGTTTAGGCTGTTTTTTTCAGTGTGTCCGACTGTCGCATGATCGCGCAGTCCGTATGAGTTCCTTTTGGCGTGGCATCAAGACACGCCTGGCGCCCCGACGATTTCGCCGACTGCTCGCGCAGGCATCTGATGCACCTCCTCCTTGCCTGCAGCGAAGAGGCACTGGCTCTTGTGATCTGTGTGGCAGCTCGACCTTGGAGCTGCGACCCGGGAAACGATGCTGTTGAATGTCTCTGCGTGCAGCGCGCGGGTGTGCGCACACGTGGCCCGCGTGGCAAATCATTCAGGAGGGGAACCAAAAACACAGACACAATTGATCCTCGATTCCCAGAATATGGAAAAATATGGGAAGTGGGGGAAAAGACAAAAACCCAGAAAATATGGGAAAATGTGGGGAACTATAGGGAATCATGTTATTTGTGTGTATTTATTTGCGTGTCCCAGGGCCCCTTCAATCATGTCGTGCGGTCCTGGCCAAACGCACCTGTCAGACCATCGCGTGCGCGGCACATGGAATGATACACGCCGCCTCGCGGGGGCACGGCCGGACAGGCCGCTCCTCATCTCTCCTCCTCCTCCTCCTCCCGTCGCGACCCCCTATTCCCCTCCTGCTTCTCTTGGTGGCCTTTTCGGGGCCTCTTGGGGGCCTCGCGGGGGCCTCGGGGGCCTCACGAGTTGCCTTGGAAGGCTGCCCGGAAATCTCCCTTGTCGCCGAGTGCAGATTTGGCCTGTGGGGCCAACTGCCAAACGGGCAAAATTCGCTGGGCACTTCATGTGGTGACGTGGTGCCCCAGCAACCCGACTCCAGTTTCTTTTCCGCGACGCTCTCGCTTGTTTTATATTGGTATTGCTGATCCTCCTGCCTGTGCTTCTCCCCAGACGTCCAGTGCCTCCACTTGTTCTGTACGGGATCCCTGGGATTCGAGGCACCGCCACGGGGCCTGATTTTTCATGTCGAGTTGTTTGGTATTGCCCGACATCCAGAAATATGTTCCAGAGGTGCGACATGAACACATATTGCGTTGTGTTCCCCCCCGTAAGCGAGAGGATAGTTGATGTTATCGTATGGCACCTTCCGTTTTCTTTCTTCCAATTATTCGAACATGTGTCTTGTCTTCGTTATTGTTTCCTCTTACCTGGCCTCGAACATCTGTCAATCACCATGCGCCGCCGTTTAGCGCAAGCGGGTTCATTCTACATGTTGCTGGAATTGCGTGGCTTTTCCGCTGTCACGTCCAGCGCGCCCACGCAGAAGCAAATCACTTACAACAATGGCAATGGGAGGTGGCGATGCCCGCCAAGGGCAACTTGGTGGTTCCTCGATCCCGAAGCCGAGGTGGCTTGCAAGCACAAGGCGGAGGCGGGCCGAAAGGACAAGCAGGGCGAAGCAAAAGACCAGAAAGAGCGCGGTCGATCTGATACTGGCGGGTCGCGTGGACGACGCGTTTGCGACGTGGTTCCCCGATTTGGCCAAAGAGTTGACGTTCTCGGCGCCCTGGGGTCCTCGTTGCAAGCGATCGCGAAGCCTTCCGAGCCGCCTGCAGCATTGGGCGCCGCGCGATTGGAGGCGACGCCATCCAGCATTATTTCGATTGTCCTGTTGCGCTGACGTGCCTCCTCTCTGTCGTGCCTTACCTCGCCAGCAGCTTTCCAGAAATGAGCCAATCCGACAGAGTGTGCTCTGCACCTCTTTCCGCCTGGGCCTCATCCAGAGAGCTAATTACATAGTGCGTTCCTTGCGCAGGACACGTTCAATGTTACCTACAAGACGTTGCGCTTTCAGCACTACTGGGGGCCAGAGTGCATCCCAGCCCTGTTCACCGCCAGAGCCCGTGCAGTCGACAAGAAGGTGCGAGCGGTTCGGCGCCTGCTGGTCAGAGGATCGACGGCCTGACCATTTGCCGCGTCTTCGCTTCGTGCCCGTTTGTTCTCGTCTCGTTTTTCCCCGGTGCATTGTGACCATTGCCATCTTCATCATCAGCATCAGCATCAGTACCATCATCATCATCATCATCATCATCATCATCAACATCATCATCATCATCATCAGCATCAGCATCAGCATCATCATCAGCATCAGCATCAGCATCATCATCAGCATCAGCATCATCAGCATCATCATCATCATCATCATCATCATCATCATCATCATCATCATCATCATCATCCTCATCGTCACATGGTCCTTTTCCCTCTCTCCTTCCGTCCCCGCTTCCCCTCTTCCCCCTCCCCCCGCCTTCCCCGAGAGGCGCCCGTGACCCAGCTCTACGCGCACTGGGGGCGGGCGTGCGCGCTGGACCCGCGCGGCGACCTGCTGGTCCCCGTGGGGGGGGGGGGGTCGACCTCTCCCAGCAACTTGCCTCGCCCAGGGAGGGACGAGTGGGGGTGGTGGGGGGGGGGGGGGGAGACCCACGACGATGGCCATGCTCGTGTGGCCCACGACAAGGGAAATGACAACGGGGGGGGGGCACGTCATGGCCAGGGCCATGGAATTTCCCACGACGTCACGATCCCATGCCTCTGGCCCCCTTGGCGCGCACGTGGCTCGGGCCGTGATTTGTTTCCACCCGTGTTGGACGCCCCCGTCTTGGTCGCCCCCGTCATGACGGCACGGCGACGATGACGAGGAGGAAGAAACACCAAGTGCATATCGAGACAGTTTTTGGGGGCCGCGCGGATGTCGTGGATCGGCGCTGTGCCCGCCGCCAGGGGAGCCCAGCGCCTGTTCACGAAGTCCGCGCAATTGCCGAAAGTAGACGTTTTCGCAGTTTGATAATTCTCTAGGCGGGGAGATGGAGGAGGAAGAAGGTGACTGCATTGTTTGGGATTGGGGGGAAAGCGAGAAAGAGAGAGAGAGAGAGAAGGAGAGAGAGGGAGAGAGAGAGAGAGACACCGAGACAACGACAGAGACGGGAGAGACTGACAGGCAGAGAGACAGAACGACAGACAGGACGGGGCAGAACACCGAGCAAAGACAGAGAGAGAGAGGAGGAGGAGGAGGAGGAGGAGGAGGAGGAGGAGGAGGAGGAGGAGAGGAGGAGGAGGAGGAGAGGAGGAGGAGGAGGTGGAGGAGGAGGAGGAGGAGGGAGGAGGAGCAGGAGGAGAGAGGAGAGGAGGAGGGGAGGAGGAGGAGGAGGAGAGAGAGAGAGAGAGAGAGAGCGAGAGCCTGACGCGTGGAGGAGGCGAAGGGGGGAGGCCGTGAGGCCAACGGGGGGCCCGAGGCTTCTCGCCGTGCTCCGGCCTCTCGCCATGCTCCGGCTCTCCGGCCGCCCACCGGCCCTTGGGCCTTCGAGCACGCGACCCGGGAGGAAGAGGCGGTCCCTGGCTAGGATGTTCCAATTTGTTCTAGCCTTGAGCACCAGAAATCGGGGGTGGACAGACCTCCTACCCCGACACGTCGATTCAGGAATTGGCCGTTTTCGGTTCGCGAGAGGGCGTCGCGGCCGTCATGTTTGCGGGTCCAGGTCCGTCGGTTTCGGTCCCAGGACGTTTTCACTTAGGGGAGGTTTACTAAAGGGAGGTCTGTCCACCGCCGAAGAAAGAATCTCGAGCACCAGGAAACAGTACCCGAAACTGGAGGACTCTCATGTGCCGGGCCCTGGGAGGCGACACAGTCAAACACCCAAATGAGGACGCGCGACTCTGCTCAGGATACCCTTGCGTTCTTGCTCTTCCTTGCTCTTGCGTCCTTGAGGTTTTCGTCGTCCGCCGCCCCAAAAATCCCAACTTCGGTTTCCGAGGGTCTTGCGTCCTAGCCGCGCGTCCTTATTTTAGGGTTTTTGACTGTACTCGCTCGACAGTGCTTCGGCGCTTTTCCTGGATGCTCGAGATTACTTCCGGGATGTGATCCTTGAGCGCGATGGGAGCAGCATAATTCAGGAGGGAAAGAACCACACAGACACAATTGATCGGCGATTTCCCAGAAAATATGGGAAAATATGGGAAGTGGGGGGGAAGACAACAACCTAGAAAAGATGGAAACATATGGGGAATCTTTTTCATTGTATGTATTTACTTGTGTGTCTCAGGGCCCCTTCAATAATGCCCTGGGGGAGGCCCCGAGGCCCGGGGCCCGTTCCCCTCGGGACCCGTTGCCTGCCATGTCAGGGAGGAGGCCTGGAGGCTGCGCTCCCCCGCGGCCCTCTCCAGGCTGCCCTCCTGGAGGCCCCGCCGCCATCGAGGGAGCCATGTGGCCCTCCTCCTCCTCCTCCTCCCCCCCCCCCCCCCCCCCCCCCCCCTCCTCCTCCTCCTCCTCCTCCTCCTCCTCTCCTCCTCTCTCCTCCTTCCTCCTCCTCCTCCTCCTCCTCCTCCTCTCCTCTCTCCTCCGTCCTCCCTGCCTCCTCCTCTCCTCCTCTCCTCCTCCTCCTCCTCCGCCTCAGCCTCCTCCTCCCTCCTCCTCCTCCTCCTCCCCCCCCCCCCCTCGGGCCGGACGAAAGGGAGGGATAGGAAAAGGGGGGGTTACGAAATTTGCTGCATGCAGCTGGTTTCGGCCTCACCGAGGGGCCCATTCCTCGAGACATGAGCCGCCTCCGGCGCGGGGAGGCGCCGGGAAAATCAGCTACGTGAGCTGATTCTCAAACCCCCCCTTTGCTATCCCCCCCTTTCGCCCGACCCGATCCTCGGAGGAGCAAGAGTCTACGCCTCCCACATGGGGTCGGAGTGGATGGGGTCGGAGGATCGCGCCGCATCGCCGATGCACCGATGCATCGCCGGTGCGGCGCGACGACGTCGACGTCGCCGATGCATCGCCGATGCATCGCCGATGCAGTGCCGATGCGGCACGATCCTCCGACCCCATCTGCTCGCCCCCATCTAGGAAGCCTCTAAACGAATTTACGAGCTCGAAGCATAATGGAGGATGACGATTAATCAATGACCGGGGGTCGTGTTCACGCGGCGGCGCCCGGGATGACGATTAGAAGAACCGGCCGCGGGCTGGAAAATTATTTCTTTTCATCGTTCTCCTCCAGTCAGAAACTTGTCCAGAAATAGCAGGAAACTCTTTTTTAATCGTTCCCCCCCCCACTTTTTTATTAATCGGCATCCAGCATTATCCCCATCCTTGTCCCCGTGTTTGGGATCAGTTCGAGGCTGGTTACAAGCGGCATGCACCTGAACTTTCGAAGGGCCGCGCGCAGATTCTCGAGTCTGCGCCGGGCCCTCTGGCGGCGCCGCCGGCGCCGCCCCTCGCGCGCTGCGCGCGCCAGGGAGGGGGCTTCGGCGCTGATTCGAGAAATCCGCGCGGACCTCCGTTCAGAGCCCCGAATCATCAGGGGTAACTCGGGTCAGGGATAACTCGGGTTCCTTTTTCGGGATTCCGAACCCGACTTACCCCGGACCCGAGTTACCTCGGATAACTCGGGCGTCCAGAGCCCCGAATCATCAGGGGTAACTCGGGTCAGGGCTAACTCGGGTTCCTTTTTCGGGAATCCAAACCCGAGTTACCCCGGACCCGAGTTACCCCGGATAACTCGGGCGCCCAATCCGTTCAGGCGGAGTTTGATGGTCTATGCTACTCCAGAGAAAGAGGACGACGACAAGAACGACGGCGACGGCAACGTCCCCCGTGGGCTGCCCTGTGCGGTGCCTCTGCACCTCATCGCTTACTTCTTGCACGCTTTCTTGGGGCCGCCTCAGGATGTGCAGTGAAATCTACCAGATTCCCTAAGACATTCTGACACTCCCCCCCCGAACTCCTCAGCATTACTTGGCCATTCTCTTGGGATTCTCGAAGAAATCCTCCGGATGCCCGAGGCATTTCCGCTTCAGGAAGCCCTGGGGATTCGGGATGAAATCCTGCTCCATCCTCAGGCAGCAAGAGCGAACATCAGCAGTCTGCAGCAGGCAACGGCGGCACGAAAGCCTGTCGGTAACATCTCTGCCCTGGTCCAACGTGCCATCTCGGACCGATTTCGTGGCCGGTAGGCAGCGGTCTCAGTCTGCTGCAGCGCTAGAATCAGCGCGTGCGAGAACGGCGAGCGGTGGCAGCGGGCTCTGGCGCTGCTGAGCGAGATGCGGGAGGTGAGGTTGGAGCCCAGCTTCAATTGTACAGTCGGGGCGCTGAAGAAGGAACCCTTTTCATTGGGGAGGGGCTCCGTGTTCCTTAATTGTTTCGCAGCTTGCCTCAGGGTTTTCCTTAGGTTTTCGATATGAAATCGAGGTTTAACTTATGGGACATAGGGGCCTCGTTCCTTATTTAGGGTTCCTTAGGTCAACGCCCCGACTGTATTACAATTCTGGACGAAGTGGGGCTGGAAGGGGCGAGCAGCGCAAGATCGTCGCGCGCCTCCGGGCGCTCCACGCTGGCTTCAGCGGGCCCCCCGACGGCCCAAAGACCAGCCTCGGACGGCCCGAGGTCGGCAGGACGGCCCGAGAGGGTCCGAGACGAGCCCCAGGGCGGCACAAGAGGGCCCGAAGACTCGCCCGGAGGCCCCACCGACGGCCCACGAGGACTTCGAAGACGGCCCCACGAGGCCCAAAAACAAGCAACACCCTTGCGTGCATGTGTGTATGTGTGTATGTGTATGTGTGTGTATGTGTGTATGTGTGTATGTATATATATATATATATATATATATATATGTGTGTGTGTGTTGTTCCCAGGTGTTTCACAATCTCCGTATGTATGAATGGCCCCCCACACGGCTCCAGGTCCTTCCAAGACCGCCCCAGAAATGGCTGAACAGGCCCTGACGAGCCTACCAAGGCGGCCCAAGAGGGTCCCAGGGCGGCCCAGAAGAGGCCCCGTGGAGCCCAAGCGAGCTTCGAGTGGCCCCCCAAGACAGCCACAACGGGGCCCCAGGAGCTGCCCAAGAGGGCCCAAACCTCGTTTCCTTCCCTTGTCTTCCCCCTCCGCAGCCCCCTCCCGCTCTTCCCTCGTCCTCCGCCCACTCCAGCTCGGCTCGCTTCTCCCCTCTGCCCTTCGGCCTCCTCGATTGAAACGAAAGATTTCGCCCTTGGCCGTTTGATCTTCTTCTCCTGCGTTGATCTTGATGTCCGCCTGTGTGCACTGCTCGTTCGCATCGACCTTCCTCCTTCTCCCCCTCCTCCAGCGCCGTCTTCGTCCTCGCCTGACCCTTGGCCGCATCCTATTCTTCGCCGCTCCGTTCAACCCCCTCCCGCCTGCCTATTGCTTGGTTCTCGATCTCCTCTCTTCTGCGCTGCTCGTCGTCGTCGTCGATTTCCTCCAGAGACGCCAGGCCGAGGCGGAAACAACAGGGGAGGGTGCACAGCGCGCTGGCCCGCCCCCAGTCGGCATCCCGACCACTCGCTGAGCCTTCCTCCGCCTCTCCCTTTTCCTCTTCCCCCTGGTCCCTCATCCGAACAGGCACCTGCGAGAAGCAGCGAAGCGGCAGCGGGAGCTGCGGGCGTCGGGAGAATCGGGCTGGACGAAAGGGGGGGATTGGGAAAGGGGGGGTTACGAAATTTGCTACATGCAGCTGGTTTCGGCCTCACCGAGGGGCCCATTCCTCGAGACATGAGCCGCCTGCGCGGGGAGGCGCCGGGAAAATCGGCTGCGTGAGCTGATTCTCAAACCCCCCCCCCTGGCTATCCCCCCCTTTCGCCCGACCCGAGAGAAGCAAAGCGATACGTGTCCCGACAGACGTCCGGCGACCGCCCCGGCGCGCCCGGCCCGCGGCAGGCCGCAGGGCTCGCCGAGTCTCCGGCAGGCCTGGCGGAGGCCCCGCCCGGGAGTCCGAAGGCGGGCGGCTTCGGCGCCGCAGCCCGTGAGGCCCGAAGGCGGTCGCCTGCGCCTATGCGGAGTCTCCGACGTTTTTCCGCGTCTGCCAGGGAGGCCCCGCGGCGGCGGCCCCCGTTGGCGGAATGCACCCAGAAGGCACATGAGGAGGGAGGAGGGGGGAGGAGGAGGAGGAGGAGGCGGAGGAGGAGGAGGGGGAGGAGGAGGAGGAGGAGGAGGAGGAGGAGGAGGAGGAGGATTTTTTTTTGACATCGACCGTGGCAACAAGAGCGACGCCCTGTGGTCGTCGCCCCCTGCTATCTGGCCTGGAGCAGGCCAGCGAGCAGTGAAACGATGAAAGGAGGGCAGGCGCGAAAGCCACGGGGCGATTTCCCACAGGAGGGGAGGATCCCCTGTGGCTCACCGCCTGCCCCCCAAAGCCCACGACCAGAGAAGAATGAGGTCAGGGCGAGACGCACCACACGCTGAGGACGCATGCTGCACCTCTTCAGTCTGAGTCATCAGACTGTGGTGCAGCGACGGCGACGAGCGAGGCCTCGTCCTCTTCAAGGACAGAGGCAGCTCGATCTCGGCCGAACGCTCCAGCCGACGAGGCTGAGGACAGACGAAGGGAAATCTAGGCGTCCCAGATGGGGTCCGAATAGATAGGGTCGTAGGATCGCCCAGATCGCCGATGCATCGGCGATGCAGTTGGATCGGAGGTGAGGGGGTGAGATCGCAATGGAACGGAGACCTCCAACCGGGAAATCGTTCCGTTTCGTTCGTGTCGCGCGTGCGGGCGAGGCGAAGCTGCGTGGGCGTGCGAGAGGACTCAACCCGCCGTTGCTAGGGCGAAGTCAAGACAAATGTTTCTCCGTCCGTCCGTCCGTCCGGCGGTGGCCCTGCGGTGACCCGCGGTGTCCCGTAGTGTCCCGTGGTGTCCCGTGGTGTCCGCCGTTGCCAGTGCGAAGTCAAGACAAATGATTCTCATCCGTCCGTCCGTCCGGCGGTTGCCCTGTGGTGTCCCGCGGTGTCCCGTGGTGTCCCGTGGTGTCCCGTGGTGTCCGCCGCTGCTAGGGCGAAGGCGAGACAAATGCTTCTCTCCCTCCTGCCCGTCCGGCGGTGGCTCGCGGTGTCCCGCGGTGTCCCGTGGTGTCCCGTGGTGTCCGCCGCTGCTACGGCGAGGTCAATACAAATGATTCTCACCCGCCCGCCCGTCCGTCCGTCCGTCTGGCGGTGGCTCGCGGTGTCCCGCGGTGTCCCGTGGTGTCCCGTGGTGTCCCGTGGTGTCCCGTTGAGTGAGATCGATAGTGAGATCGATACTAAGATTGATAGTGAGATTGATACTGAGATCGATACAGGGATCCATACTGAAGTCGAGGTGGTGTCCCGTGGTGTCCCGAACAGGGAGCTCGATAGTGAGATCGAGAGGTGTCCCGTGGTGTCCCATTGAGTGAGATCGATAGGGAGATCGATATTGATATCGATACTGAGATCGATATGGTGTCCCGAGGTGTCCGGTGATGTCCCACAAAAGAGATCGATAGTGAAATCGATAGTGAGATCGACAGGTGTCCCGTGGTGTCCCGTGGTGTCCCGTCAAGTTAGATCGATAGTGAGATCGATAGTGAGGTCGATATTGAGATCGATGTGATGTCCCGCGGTGTCCCGTGGTGTTCCGTGGTGTCCTATGGTGTCCCGTGAAGTGAGATCGATAAGGAGACCAGTAGTGATACCGATAGTGAGATCGAGAGGTGTCCCGCGGTGTCCCGTGGTGTCCCGTGAAGTGAAATCAATAATGAAATCGATAGTAAGATCGACATGTGTCCCATGTTGTCCTGTTGTGTCCCGGTAAGTGAGATCGATAGTGAGATCGATTGAGTCAGATGTTGGTTCTCCCCCTCTCCCCCCCACAACCTCCTTATCACCCGAAGGGTTGTCGTATAGGTATGGAGCCCGATTTCCTCCAAGCCGACGTCGCATCTACATCCTCGATGTATCGCCGATGCGTCGGCGATGCGGCGCGATCCTCCGACCCCATCTACCCGGATCCCATTCAGGAGACCTCTAGGGACGGAGGAGGAGGAAGAGGGAGGAGGCGGAGGACTAGTGTGAACCCAAGGCGCGTCCATGACATTGCCATCGGCCCATTCACTCCTCAGGTCATACGCCCTCCAAGTGTGCCGTCATGGCGGGAAGTGTCCGGTCGAACGACAGCTGCTTTGGTATCTCCACGCCGCGAGTGCACGTGAGTGCCGCGTTCTGACACTCCCAAAACCGTGCCAGACGCCGATGGTGGGGCTCCAACGCCGCGAGGCGGCGTGCCCGCTTCGCCATGGCAGTCGCAAATCGTGCCAGAGGATAACTCTCGGGATGGGATCCCTACGAATCATTTTGCAAACTGATACTCCAGATGTCGTAATACAAGGGAGGGGGTCTGGACCCTCCAAGACAAGCCATTTCAGACCTCCCCCGTGGGAGAACCCTCCAAAACATCGTCCCCAGACCCCCCCAGGCCCTCCAAGATAGCCTGGAAGAGACCCCCCCCGAAATGAGACCCCCCTCCCTTTATTACGAAATCTGGAGTACACATGTCTGAGACGACTGGGCGCGGCGCTAGGGCGACAAACGGCTGTCAGAGAAGGAGCCGCCCGCCTCCCTCGAGGTCGCCACACGTGTTCAGGTCGAGGCTGCGCGGCGCCACAGCGAGGGCCACACTCTGAAGGCAAGCAGCCCTCCATCGATGCGACATCTGTAAAGCAGGAGGGAGAGAAACACACAGACACAATGAATCGCGGATTCCAAGGAAAATGTAGGGGAAATATGGGAAGTGGGGGGGAAGACAGAAACCCAGAAAATACGGGAAAACATGGGGAATGTTTGTATTTGTGTGCATTTATTTGTGTGTCCTGGGGGGGCCCTTCAGTAAACTCCCAGCCGCAGGATCATACCCGGTAAGGGCCTCTCGAGCGACACGCCAGGCCCGCCCCACGGACACGTCTGGGGATGCGACAGGGCTGAGCTGCTTCTTTCGTTGCTCGACTCCTCCCCCTGGCCCGTTTCGCATCACCGTGGCTGCGTGGTGGCGTGCTCGTGCCCAGGGGGAAGGGCACAGTCAACGCGCCTAGTGAGGACGCGCGCCTTCATCTGGGGTGCCCTTGTGTCCTTGCCTCTGAGGCCCGTCCTTTTCCGTTTTCACTGGTCGCCGCCGCCCCCAGAAATCCCAATTTCAGCCTCCAAGGGTCTTGCGTCCTTACCACGCGTCCTTACTATACGTTTTGACTGTAGGGCCGGCAGGAATGGCGCCGGTATGGGAAAGGGATGGGTGACGAGGGGGAGGAGGAGGAGGAGGAGGAGGAGGAGGAGGAGGAGGAGGAGGAGGAGGAGGAGGACGACGACGACGACGACGACGAGGAGGAGCAGGAGAAGGGGGCGGACGAGGCAGGAGGAGACATCGACGGCGACGGTGGCGTCCGCCCCGGAGGAGGACGGCGACGACGGCCACGACGGCGGCATCGACGGCGGCGGCATCCGCCTTGGAGGTCTGCTCTGCGGAGGGCGCCCCAGAGCACGCCTCCGAGGACGCTGGCTTCCGCGTGCGGTGCGCCTGCTGGAGCCCTTGCGGCGGCTTCCTGCTGCTGGGGGACGACCTCGGGCGGCCTGGGGGGGGAGGGGGCAAGGGGGCGAACGCGTCTGGGTTCGATGCTCAAGGTTTCCGGACATCTCGTGGGGGCCCGGCGGCTTTCCAGCCTCGGGGCACCGTCCAGCGGTTGTGCCTCGCCAGAAGCGTTCCAGCGGGCCTGGGATGGTCCCGGACAGCCGCAGGAGAGTCGAATGACGGCACGAAAACCCAAGGGCAACGTAAGGGGGAGAGATCAGAGGAGGAACAGATACCGATGCCGCTCCTCGTGCCGAAAAGTTTTCGTCTGCACGGCTGGATATCACCTCGTTGTGATTTGTTATATCCGTGTTTCTGTTGTTCGTGTTCGGCAGCATCGGAAGGACGTTCTCGGGTCCCTGGACGAAAACCTACCCCCGGGGAGGCGGTCTGGGCTTTGGGGCCGCGGACTGAACAATTATGCTGGCGGATGTATGGGGGTAACATGGGCTTGGTGGGAAATAAGTTGAGTAGGCGCGCCCGCGTCATAGATGTTTCTTACGATTATCCGCGGACGCGCGTCGTAGCGGAGCTGGAACTCTCTAAAGAACGGCCCCATCGCGTTTTGCGCAATTGGGGAAAAGATGGAGCTTCGTGCATAGACGGAGGGGGTGGAGGACGAGGAGGAGGAGGAGGAGGAGGAGGAGGAGGAGGAGGAGGAGGAGGACTAATCGAAAACCCCAAGGAGCAGCGTCAAGCTCCAAGCCAGATGTGCCGACGGCGGCGGGGGGAGTTGGGTGTGGGGTGTTGTGGAGGAAGTGGAGCTTCAGTCCCTCACAGAGGGCCCGCCACGCAGGCGGAGTCCGGTACTGCCCATGGCGTGGGCCAAGGGGCCATCGCTACATAGGCCCCAGCACCTTTTTTTTTTCGGCGAGGGACCTTAGTATGGAGCGCGGGGGGGGGGATTGCTGTTGGTGGGGGCAGTTCTCTGCTTCATGTGTGCCTGCAGCAAGCTGTGGGTCCTACACTTTTCCTCGCCTGCAGCCGCCGGGCGCCTTTCTTCTGTCCGCACTGTTGCAATACACAGGCCTGCTCCTTTTTTGTTCTCTCAACTGCAAGAACGCAACATGTAGCTCACCACATGTTTTCATAACGCACAAGGAGGAGGAGGAGGAGGAGGAGGAGGAGGAGGAGGAGGAGGAGGAGGACGAGGACGAGGACGAGGAGGAGAAGGAGGCGGAGGAGGGGGAGGCGGAGGAGTTGGAGGAGGAGGAGGAGGCGGAGGAGGTGGAGGAGGTGGCAGCCGTTGCCTCCCAGGGGCGCCCCCTCGACACATCGGTGGGGGGGTCGCGCAGAAGGAGGCGACAGGCCAGGCGCGGAGCCTCCAACGAAGCGCGGCGCCACCAGCTGCCATGTGATCTACGAGGACGCATCGGACCCGCAGAGGCCTAGGATGCGCGCGGCCACGCGCCGCGTGGGCTGCGCAGTTTGACGTCAACGCCCAGGCGCGGCCAAGGACGTGGTTGCGTTGGCCACAGCTTCGAGGAGGAGCGGCGACGCCGACACCAGTACCACACCGAGCACACCGTCATCCAGGCGCCGCCTGTCGGCAACGCCGGTAACGCCGAGTACCTTATTATGCCGCCGTTCATATTTGCTGTGTAAAGGCCTCCTGCTGGACAGCGGCCTCCTCCTGTACAGCGGCCTCCTACTGGACAGCGGCGTCAGACTGCCTTAGAGGGACCGCCCTCTGTTTTGCCATCTTGGGCGTTCTGCTCCAGAGTAGATCTGGGCACTAGCCCCCAAGGGTCCGTCAAGATGGGAATCCCTTTTCGGAGCCCCCTCGGTGGCCCCCTATCACCTTGCCCTTAGGGCTATGTCACCGAGGACCCCTCCCCCGACGCCACTGCTGGAATCGCCCCTGCCACGCCGCCAGGACCCAGGACAACGGCCTCATGCCCACCACGAGATCAATGTCCAGGCCACGGAAGAGGAGGGGACGGTGGAGAAGGATGTCGACGTCGCCGCGGAGGAAAACGACGCCGCCGTCGCGGCGGAGGCCCTGGGCCACCTGGAGGAGGACAAGGACCTGGAGGTCGACGTCGGGGCGGAGGAGGTCGACGTCGCGGAGGAGGCGGCCGCGCCATCCGCCTCGCTCCCCGGCGCCGCCTCGGACTGCTGCCCTGCCTCTGCCGGTGCCAGGCCAGAGCAACAGGCCGCGCGCCTCGGGGCCTCCGTCCCCTGGCCCTATAGCTCTCCGCCTGCGTCGCCCACGGGGCCGCCGCGGCGCGGCGCGACGGCCCTGCCCCAGAGGACCTCGGCGCCGACTGGGATCGGCTACTGCCTGACGGCAAGGCGGCATGGGTCCCGCATCCGCCGCGTCGCGCGCTCGCCACCAGTCGAGCGGCGGGTACCCCTGCGGCCCCGCAAGGTCGCCGACCAGCCAGCTGCCTGGGACACCGTCGACGCCCCGCTCGGCATTGGGAGCCCCTAGGCTGGAGGATCCACCCTGGAGCGTAGCGTCAGATGCGCATCAGGCCCGCGGCAACACCGCCCATCATCAGTCACGGCGAGTTCAGTACGTGTGCCATATGCCTGGACCTGTTCATGAACCGCGCTGACAGGCGCGCGCCGGGGCCCTTGAGACAGAGTTGGCTTTTACCCTCGAGCCCGACGGCGGCGGCGACGCCGAGCCGGAGGACCTGCACCGAGGCACCCCGACGCCCGAGGCGCCCTCGGAGGCCCGCCCGAGGCGGCGCGCGCTACCGTTCTCAGAAGCAGGTCCGTGTCGCGGACCAGCCCTGAGGCCACCCGCGCTTCCTCCAGCTTCCATCTCTCAGTGCCCCCGTCTCCTCCCGCTCTCCTCCGCGCAGGATCTTCGCTCTGCATCCTGCGACTGGCGCCGATTCGCTCGCGCCCAGCATCCAGCCCAACTCCCTGCGTCAGCATGCTTCCCCCCCGCCCTTCTCCAGCGGGTTTGGGGGCATTTTGTGGGGGCCCGCCGCTCGGGCGGGGACTGAGCAGAAGCAAAGATGGCGAGGTGCTTCTCTTGTCAGGAGGGAAAGAAACACACAGACTCTGTGACACAGACACAATTCATCGTCGACTCCCAGGAAAATATGGGAAAATGTGAGAATTGGGGGGGGGGAGACAAAAACCCAGAAAACATATGAAAATATAGGGAATCCTGTTATTTGTGTGTACACCTTAGGCGATGCTTTAGAAAACTTAAGTTTTCGGCCAGAGTCTCGATTATTCTTAACGTTTCAATGTAAATCTTAAGATTTTAATAGAAATGTTGGGCTTTTATTCAAGTTCTGAGACTATGAATTTCTTAACCCATGATTTCTTAAGCATTTCGCAGGGTGTATTTATTTGTGTGTCCCAGGGCCCCATTCATCTTGAGTGGACCTTGATGAATAGCCGCTGAGCGGCGATGGGCGTCCTTATGTGCCAAGCAGAAAGCGCCGCGGCAGCTGCGGCGCCGCTTCGCAGCGGCGGCGACGCGCGGAACGCACAGCCGGCCCACTTCCATCTCTTCGCGCCCGCCACCGGCTGCGCCCCTTGTCTGCCGCCCCCGCGCTTGGCAGATCGTCGCTCTTCTTCCTCGGCAGCAATCGCTCCTCGCCCCCCCCGCGCAAGTCGCCATTATGCACCCCCTTCTTCTCACTCGCAAGTTCGCCGCAGCAGGCGGCCCCGCGGAATTGCGAGGCGCGCCCGAGCCGCCGCGCCCCAAGAAAAAAGGCAAGGCGGGATGGGGGGATAGGGGTGAGCCGCCAAACCCCAGAGCGCCCCTACAGCGAGCGGCTCGAAGAAGGAACGCTTACTTTTCAAAAGGGGCTCGGTCGTTCCGTTTTTCGTTCCTTATGCGTTGTGTATCATTCATCGTTCCTTATGCGTTATTCCCTGGAGAAAAGGGGCTTCGTTCCTGATCTATCGTTCCTTAGGTCAGGCCGATGACTGTAGCAGGCTGTCAACACTGTTGTTGGAAGTCGTGTGTTCCCGCAGTCGGCCACGGCAGTTTGTGTTGTTGTTGTAGCTGTCAGTGCCTGGAGGCCGCTTTCGGGCCCTGGTGCCACCATGATACGACCCGGGGTGGGAAGTTGCCCAGTTGGGCCCCGGTAGAGGAGAGCGAGGCAGGATGGAATCGATGATCGAGAGTCAGGGTCGAGATATGGCTGCGGTTGTATAAGAGTGAGGGGGCTGAATCGAACGGTCATTCACTGTCCCTGGGTGCGTGGCTGAAGTAGAATTCCGCGATGCGGATTATTGTTCTTGTTGTTGTGGTTGTGGTTGCTGCTGTTGTTGTTGTCTTATTGTTGTTGTTGTTGCTGTTGTTGAACATTATTTCTTCTAAAGAATAATTATTGTTGGGACCCCTGGTGCACGGCCCCCCCGCCGCGCCTAGGCCGCAGCCACATTTTCATCATTTTCGTGAGGAAGTCTCAGGTAAAACTATGTGATCCAGATCCGGTTGTTTTGTTACGGCCCGCTTTCCCTTGCAACAAACACTATAAACTGACATTTCTTGTTTTAACATAACCACATTTCAAGAATCCCTTGCAACAAATAAGGTAAAGTGGACATTCGCGCGCGCAAGACGAAATCCTTCCAAAACCTTAGTTTTCGTAGCGATTTTAACATAAAAACATAAAAAACAATGGTTTTAAAAAGAAATTTGTCAAAATTTCATCCCGCGCGCTCTTGCGGATTCGTAGGGAACCCAACACTTTTTAAACATTTCTGTCAAACGGGCTTTTGCGAGCAACTTTTTCGAACTTCTGCAACAACGGTTGCGCACCTGCCAGGGCCATCATCCCTGTCAAATAATACCATGCGGGACACATTCGTTTTTTCTTCGCGCGCGCACGCCGTCGTCGTCGGCCGCGGGGCCCTGAATAGTAGCCACGGTCGTCCGCATGCCACGAAGTGAAGTGTCCGAACGTCATAGGGCGGGAAGCTGGGTGTGGGTGGTGGCGAAGAGTCGTTTGGAAATTTGGTAGAGCTTGAACCGGCCCCCCCACAAAGTGGGGGTATTGCCCGCCTCCTATGAAAAC